CCTTGCTCAGCCAGTGAGCGGGAACCGGTCTGTATGTGGGATCCGAACCCTCGGCGGGAGCGCCACCATGCTCCCAAGTGGCGCACTATATCAGTGCGCCACCGGGCCGGCCCTGAAATTCCCATTTCTAACAAGCTCCTGTGCGATGATGCTGTAGGCTCTCAGACTGCTCAATGAGTAGTGACACTGCAGAGCATGACGTTCTAGAGGCGGCACAAACCTACACCCTCTCTAATTACACAAGCCCGTCATTTTTCTTAGAATGCCTAGGATAAGTGTTTCAGATGAAACGGACAATGCCAACCCAAGCCAGCTCAAAGATAGAGACAGAGAAAACTACGAAGAGGCATTTAATCACTTACGAGCTGAACTGGCATTTGAGTATCAAAGTATAAGCTCCCTGAGAGCAGAGACTTTCTTATTAATCTTTGCAAGCCCAGGGTTCAGCACAGGGCGGGACCCATGCACACTGAAGCTCAGTAAACGTTCATTGATTGGACACAGGAATAAACAGAAGGATTGACGCGGCAACTGAGCCAGGCATGATGGAGCATGCAGTAACGTAGAGGAGATTCATGCATTAATTCTCGGGAAGCTGGGCAACCTATTATTTAAATCTCACTCATTTAAAATGACCCAAGAGCCAACAGTTGGGGACACTTCATTGCTGCTTCTCCTACCTGCCACCAGGTCTTCCACACCATTTTCTTCAAAGACCTCTATGACCTCAGGGATATCTGAGGCCTCCAGGCTGGCGGGAGCCACCAGCCCGTGGATGTTGTCCAAGGTGATGTCATCCTCATAGCCTTCTCCCACCATGTGGATGAAGGTCTCCTCGTACTGATTGTTAATCACTGACAAGTGGATGATGCCTGTCATTCTCCCAACCTTCTGGGAGTGGAAAAAGACATCAAATTCAGCTGTATTTCCAGGAGAAACAACCAGGGATGCGGTGTGAGCTTTCTTTGCTGCAAAAAGAAGAGAGAAGCTAGGATGTAGAACCAGTTTAAAGAAATATGTACCAATAAAGACCCTGGCTGGGGAGAAAGCAGCGTTAGTGTGGGAACAAGCCTTGGCTAGAGGCCACTGATGATGACACTGGGCATTCTTCCCTGGCTGGGCCCTGAGCAGTCCCCTAATGCACCAGCTACTGAGATCCATTGCCCTCAGAAGCACCCTCCACCCACCTACCTTTCTCGTTTGGTTTGTTTCCTTCTAGGATGTAGATGAAAGAGGTAGTAGGCCTCCCTTTCAGGGAGAAGACTCCTAGCTGGTCCTGCAGGTCAATATGCAGCTGGCGGAAGAAAAGCAGGATTGAATATCAGGCTTACAGGCTGCTCATGAGTTTTGAGTCTGGGGTGAGACACTGTGCTGTTTGGGGTCTAGTATTCACTTTTTTGAATTTCTTATTAAGACAGAGATATATTAAACATTAGACCTGGAGAGGACAAAAGAAAATTCAGTCAGGTCAGCCCTTGTTATCCAAGTGAGGTACTGAAGGTCCAAAGAATATAGGTGACTTTCCGGATCACACAGCTAGACAGTGTCAAAATGGGGTTGCCAATGCCTCTGCTATTGACAGAGGCAGCTGTAAAATACATGCTAGACTAATAATATGAAAATAAATACTCATAATTCTATAAGGGCTTGGATGAATGTGAATTCCTGAAAACCAGTATCTCCTAAGTACTATGCATTAGTTGCCTGATAGTGTCATGTTGAGCATCCTACCAAGATGAGAGGAAAAACAAGGTGGGTATCTGACCTACACGGAGAAAAGGAGGAGTGGTTTCCAGCCCATTGGAAGGAAGATAAGACTGAAGCCATACGTCTGATACTAGGTAGGAGAAATCAGACGATTTGAGAAGACAGTGATATTGGCACCATCATGAACAAGATGGAATAAAATAAAGAAGGAAGAAACAGGAACATCACATAGGAAGCTTCTGAGATGAAAAATTATGTATCTAGAAGTAATCTTAATAAGAAACTATAAGGAGGAATTATATGTAAAATATATTGACATAAAATAAGATCTAAATAAAGGGGTGGGAACCCTAAATGTTGCTCTGGTGGAGAGTCTAAATACGCTAAAAGTAGAAATTCTCCCCAAATAATTTATAGGTTACCCAATGAGGTTTTTTGAGGAATATTATAATACGATTTCAAAGTTCATCTGAGAGATTAATATGCAAAAATTGTTAAGAAAAGTTACAAAAACAGGGGAGTGGGTGGGCGGGAATTCACTGAACTAGATGCTAAAACATTTTATAAAGCCACAACAATGGAAACAATGCAGGGTAATGGTAAACTAAATAAATTAAACTCAAGACAACAAAAAAATCCTAGACTAAATATATAAAAAAATTTAAAAGCATCACAGAACTAAGAAGAGTAACTAAACCAAGATCTTTGGGAACATGGAAGCCCAGAAAGGTCAGCCTAACTTCTGGGCTGTTTTTCTCTTGGGGCATTTGCCAGTCTAGAAGAGGTAGATGGGAAGCTTATCTGTGCTTTTGATGTCCTCTAAGAGGACAAAAGTCCAAGGCCTGTGAAAGGTGGGAGTGTTTTCTTTGCTCTGAGCTGAGACCCCAAAGTTTTACATCATAATATGAAAGGTGAGTTGGATATAAACCAGCTCTCCCAGGGAGAGCAATCCTGCTCTGAGTCATCTGGGTAATACAGAAAACCTCAAGACCTAAAACTGGTTTATGGTAATCCTGAATTTCTAGTGCCTGCAAGTGCTAGGCAGAAGTAAATAAAAATTGTCTCTGAAGAAAAATAACATCATCTTTAGTCTAATTCTTTCTTTCTTTTTTTGTTTTTTTCCTTTTTATCTTTTTTACTGACTGGTAATGGGATCGCAACCCTCAGGGAGAGCAATCCTGCTCTGAGTCATCTGGGTAATACAGAAAACCTCAAGACCTAAAACTGGTTTATGGTAATCCTGAATTTCTAGTGCCTGCAAGTGCTAGGCAGAAGCAAATAAAAATTGTCTCTGAATAAAAATAACATCATCTTTAGTCTAATTCTTTCTTTCTTTTTTTGTTTTTTTCCTTTTTATCTTTTTTACTGACTGGTAATGGGATCGCAACCCTCGGTGTCGCGCCGGTACCGGGGACCAGCAATGGGATCGCAACCCTCAGTGTTGCGCCTGCACCACGCTCAGCCAGTGAGTGGGAACCAGTCTCCACATGGGATCTGAACCCTCGGCAGGAGCGCCGTCACGCTCCCAAGCGGCTCACTCTCCAGTGTGCCACCGGGCTGGCCCTAGTCTAATTATTTCTAAATAATATTTCAAATATAATAGCCAACACATGATCAAAAGATAACCAGGCACATGGGGAGACAGGATAACATAAATAAGAATGAGCTGAAATAGCAGATATCAGAAACAGATCTACGGGGACTTCAGATTTTGGAATTATCAGGAATAGACTGCAAAATGGCTATGATTACTGTGTTCAAGAAATTCAAGCCACGTCTGACAATTGCAGCATGAAACTAGAAACCACAAAAACTGATTGTGCCGATCTGAAAATCAAATAGAAAATAAAAATAAAAAAAAAAAAAGAAAAATCTAATGGAAATTCTAGAACTGAAAAATATAACTTAAGAACTTCACAGGAAGTCTTAACAACAGACTTAATACAGCTAAAGAGAGAGTTAAAAAACTGAAGACAGGTCAAAAGAAATTATGCAGAATGAAGCCCAGAGAAAAATGAATGGAAAACATGGTTAGGCTGAGAGACATGGAGGATATAGTGAGAAGGTCTTCCACACATTTAATTGGCATCCCAGAAGGAGAGATGAGAGAGAATGGAACAGAAGTAACACTTGAAGACATGTCTAGGAATGTTCCAAAATTGGTTTGACATCAATCACAGAACCAAGAAGCCTGGTGAATTCCAAGAAGAATAAATTAAAAGAAACCCACATGTAGACACATCACAGTGAAACTGCAGAACACAAATACAAAGTAAAAATTTGAAAGGCAGTCAGAAGAAATATTTCCTCAGTAGAACATTTCAGACTTGTAGCTGACATCTCAGTAGTAACAATGGAAACCAGAATATACTGGAATAATATCTCCCATTTGCTGAAAGAAGACGACTGTGAAAAATTGCATTAAAAATGAAAGAGAAATAGAGATTTTCAAATTACATTGAGAGAATTCACCACCAGCAGACTCACATTAAGGAAATACTAAAGAGTATTCTTCAGTTGGTAGGAAAAGAACCTCAGATGGAAAATTGGAGATGCAGAAATGTAGTACAATAAAAATAATAAATATGTGGGATTTACTTAATGAGATTTACTTAACTGTACCAATAACAACAATAGTAGTAATGTCTTACAGGGTTTAAAATATATGCAGAATCCAAAGCCCTCCACATGTTGCCCCCTTACTCTCTTATTTTATCTCCCATTGCCCTCCTACCCCTACTCTATGTGCTCACATAGCTGGGGGCTTACTGGTTCCTGCTTACTGGTTCCAGTATCTTACACGTTTTTTTGTGTGTGTGTGTGGTGTCTGTGCTTTGCAGTTTTCTCTCTCTTCCTGGGATGCATGTACTGCCCAGTATCTTACACGTTTTTTTTTGTGTGTGTGTGGTGTCTGTGCTTTGCAGTTTTCTCTCTCTTCCTGGGATGCATGTACTGCCATGCCTACTTGCTGAAACCCAACTATCCTTCCAGACCCAGCTCAAATTTCATTTACGGTTGAACTTCCTTTTAATCCCCTAGATGGGAAGAGATCAGTTTCAAAAGTCCTACAGTCCTCTGTGTAACACTTACACAATGTATCACTTTTTTGTAAAATAAAAACATAATTTAATGATTGAACCAAAATTCCCTTTACATGTTGCATCCTCACCCAATGAAGTTTCTTTTCCAGTTTTTTCCTCATTAAAAACGCAATGCTTATTACAGAAAAAAATGAAAAAATGAAGACACCAAGAATACCCATAATCCTACCCACTTAGCCTGGTGTACAGCATCGCACACTACTGTGCACAGCAGTTATCAGTGTATTGTGTAATCTGGTCTTCTCCATTCCTTGAGGGCAGAGACCATGTCAGATTCCCCTCTGCATGTCCCATGTCTTACGCACGGTTGATGTATGAGGATCATCAAAGAGATCCTCATGCATTAGGGATGGCAGAGATCCCAATGTCAGAAGTCTAACTTCTGAATGATTCTTTTCCCTTTCCATCTCATGCTTCACCCTCAAGTATTACCTGGGCAGGGATGGTGCCATTGTTCTTGAGGATGAGAGGTAATTTCTCTGAATGACCAAGCAGAAGCCTCTTAAAGAGGAGCAAGGGGTTTCCATATTGGTTACAGAGAATTGGCCGCACAACAGTCACTCTAGGGAGGTTCCCCTCACCAATGATATCAAATATGAGGCCTCGGTTCCTGGCCAAATTGCTGCAGGGAACAAGAAGATAGAGGCTTGTCAGCCTGGCATGGCAGGAATGACCTTCCATAGAGAGTGTGGTCTGTAGCCCTGCTGTAGGAGAGGAAGTTGGGAGCTGGTACCTGGGTAAGCCATCCAAGGTAGCCTCAAAGATACACTGGTAGGTCTGCATGATCTGCGGGGTGAAGGACACCGTGGCAAAGGCATGGGAGCGACTGGCAACACACATCTTGTTGGGTTCCACTTCAAAGATGTCGATGATGCGGGCAAAGGGCTGGGGAGGGGAGCAGAGACCAGAGGGTGTTAGCTACTTTGCATTTACACTGGGCTTGCTGCTCATCTCTGCTCCCCTGTTGTGAGTTCCCCCGCCCCTAAACTCTGCAGTAGACACACGCCACTGTCCGCACAGTCATCCATAGCTCCTGGAAGGAGCAGCTTACGTGCTCTGAGACCCGCCTCTGAGCAATATCTGGCTGGAGGTGGCCAGACCCATGATCTTTGACTCAAATAGATGAACACTAAGCCAGTCAGATATTCTCCGCATCACCCACCCTACCGCGGTCAAACAAGAGTGTTGTTGGATACTAATGTGCAGCTGAGCTGGAAGCTGGTTGAACCATGTGCATGACAGGGAAGCCAGACTAGAGAATGAAGCAATGGAACACCCTGAGTGAGAGACATGTGGCCCCTGAAGGATGGACAGAGTATCTGCTGGTCTT